CACATCTGATTCTTGTATTGCATTTCTTTGAGTCATCTTGCACTGAGTCTGGTCCTGACCTTTTTCTCACAGTAATGTCTGTCTCTGGTTGCAGAAGTCAGCTTCATAAACTCTCATCTGAGAGATATTTGGGTCAAGTGAAGAGTCAAGTGTTACTTTAAAGTGAAGACAGATAGAGAAAACAAGTAAAAGCATGCATAAGTTCTAGTGTAGCAAGTTCCCAATCACACTGAAAGTCATTATAAACTGCCTGACTTGAGCTTATTTGTGATTCATGTAGTAACGTCACACAGAAAGTTATTATAAACTGCCTGAGCTTATTTGTGATTCATGTAGTAACAATTAACATTAGACAGTTACACATATGAGATTATGCAGTAAGTTACTTAATTCACTATTAACATGGCTATTTCAGTGATTAAGTTGTGTTGTTGAATCAACATATCCTGCAGATATGAACAAAATCATGGCAAAAATAATGATATCTCGTCCATACTCGCAGCATTTTGGATTCTCATGTTGTGATGAAAGTAGGGGGTGCTCATTTGGCTGTTGTGGTCAAATCCAGGGCGATGGGTGAAGCTCTGTTAATCTTTCTTTTAGCTGACAATATTTCAGATCAATTCAGCTAATTGAGTCAATTCATTTCATGCCTTATGGAACTTGATTTTAGTACAGATGCCTTTAGCTAATGGCATTGCCTCATTAGACTATGAGAATGTCCTCTGACCTTTGACACTGACAATTGTGTGAAAAGCTTTCCTGCCTTTCTTTGTGATCCTGGTGAAACAAGAAAATGCCTTCACTAAATTTCTGTCCTACCTATAGAACTGGCTACATGGATGAGCAGGGTCCTGTGTTGGGGCAGTTTGAAGAGAGCTAGTGCGGCCTGATAGTGGTGAAGAACAAAGTGCACCCAAATCTGTGTAGCAGGCAAAATGCCACAGTATGTTAACATGCTGTGCAGCCTTGTAGCCTGTGGTGTGGTGGTGTGTAGACAAAGTGTGGGAACCAATCCAAGAAAACATGTTCACAGCCAGAGGGGCTGAGCTGAATGTGATTTGTAAACAATGCTTTGGAGTCATATTTACACTGAAGAAAAAAAATATATCTTCAGGTCATGTGGATTCAAACGGATATTAAATACACAGGGACAGGTGAAATTCTGCTCAGAGCTATTGAAGGTTAGACGTATTCACTGTTTCTGATCATTTTTATTATGATTTCCATATTTTAACACTATGTAAACTGTGTATGGGAGTCACAGTTAGAAAACAGCTGGTCTAACTGTTACAACCAAGGTGACATACAGTATTCATAGTAACTGTTTGTATTTTATCAGCTTAGAAATATTGGCTTTACTGATATTTGTGACTTTGGTGAACATCAGATCACATTTCATGACCGATTTGTGCAGAAAGCCAAGAAATTGCAAACAGTTCTATTACTTTTTCTTGTGACTATACAAACAGCTGAACCCTCATGATTATGATCCCAGCTTTAATCCAATCAGTGAAGCCATCAGATGCAGTTGTAGGCAGCAACAGTCTCATGGGAAACAGGGTAGGGGGTGGGGGGTTATGGGATGTAGGCAGCAGGGTAATCGACTCAGAACCCTCCCCTACCGGCACTAAACATTAAATATTCATTTCAGGCCCGGCCCTAACCAATTTGGCGCCCTAGACAAGATTTCAGGTGGCGCCCCGTTGCATCGCAGTAAATTCCACTGCTAGTGTATATACTAAGAAACGTAATAGCTTTGTCTTGGACATTCTTTTATTTAAATAAAGCAATTGCACATTCAAAATACTTAGAAAGAATTAAAGAAACAAATACAAAAAAATGAACTGAACATATGAAATACAATATAAATAGCTTACATAAAGTACCTATTAATACTCCCAAAATAAAAAGTGTAAACAAGTGACATTAACTTAAAAATACAATATAAATAAGGCACTGTGCAAAATAAGATATTAAAGAAACGTGTAGGCACAAAAAAATACAAGGATTTAAATAAAAATAAAAAGATGATCTTACAAAGACCTCTAGTGGTGTTTTTGGTACTGCCGTAACTTAAAAACTACACCATCACCTCCTCAATCTCACATAACCTGCTACAGCTTTACTCTCCTGGTTTTTCTTGCAGCAAAGTCATCTACAACATCATCATATGACAACTGATTTCAGACCACATGGTTTATGCTTATAATGGCAAGTCCACTGAGACGTTCTTGCATCATAGTAGATCTCAGGTAAGTTTTAATCAGTTTGAGCTTAGAGAAGCTTCTTTCAGCAGCAGCCACTGTAACAGGAAGAGTGGCAGAGATTCTCAAAGCAACCCACATGTTGGGGTAAATTTCTGCCAGCTCCTTCTCATGCAGGAAGGTCAAAAGTTCCATGTTTGTCATATTGTTTGATGGCAATGGTGGGAAATTCTTCATTTCCTTTGCAAGTTCTGTGCCATCAATGTCCGGCTGGCTGTCATGGGTCACAGCAGTACTTAGGGTTTGACACTTCTGTAGCAGGTCCTCTTCTTCTAAGTTGGGGAAATCGAGGAGCACACCAAACGTGTTATTCACCTCTCCAAGATTCGGAAATCTCTCATCAAGTGAAGAAGTTGTCTGTGCATCAGAAAATCTAGTGTTGGCTCCTTTCTCACCTAGCTGGCCAATCACAGAGGATACGAAGGGGGCTTCCCAAGCTTTTCAATCATCTAACAAGCAACTCTGATGAAGCATACTGGCACCTCAAAGATAATAATAAGACCAGATAGCTAGCTACTGCAGCTACATCATCACAAAACAAGCCATGAAAGCCAATTTCAACCTAACTCCT